CCCCTGCAACCCCGCGCGCCCCCCGCCGCCCCGGCCCTTCCCTTCCCTTCCCTTCGCGTTCGTCCGGGCGTAGGACTGGGGTGGGGGGCGACGGAACAAGATGTTCGGCGGTCGCTCTGCGCCCCGTTTCCTCGCCGATGATAAAAGACGCGAAGACTTTGTGTGTGTTTGTTTGTTTGTTTCTCTTGGGGGCGCAGGTTGTTGGCGACTGGGGAGACGGGCGTCCCTTCGCCTTTGGAGCACCCGGTGCTTCTCGCATCCGTGCTGTTGCTGAGACTTGACTTGGAGAGCGAGCTCGCGGGCTGGGGCGGGGAAGGGGCAGGTGCCGGGATGTCGTTGAAAGGAGCGGGGTCGGAGCCTTCAAGCCTCGGGAACCTCCGGAGGAGGCGGAATGGGGCCCCGGGCGCCCCGGGGGTGTCATCCCGGGGCTCCGAGGAAGTCTGCGCGGAATGGGGGCTGGGGGGCCGAGTCGTTCGTCTGCGGTGATGTGCGCCTCCGTTTGGTGACTGAGAATCGAGAAAGGGACAGCTGCTGTGTTTGGTACTTCGGAGGAGGGACAGTGGTGCCCAAAGGAGGCACGGAGTTGCTGGGAGGAAGGAGGCGTGTTTTATTTTTTTAACGGTGGTGGATTTCGTTCCCAAGCTAAGTCTCCAGATATCTCCAGGACACTTCCAAACTCAAATGATTGCTATTCCGGGCAAGCAGCCCCCTTGGCTCTGGCGCTTGGCAAGCGCAGTTTCTAATTAAAAATGGCAAAACTGTTTGGGGAATGGACGGGGTCACAGCACAGCAAGAGAAAGAGGGGTCCTAGGGCTGCTCCGGGCTGCTGCAGCCTCCGAGTGCGGAGCTGGGGCTTCCACAGCTCCAAAGAGATTTTAAAAGAGCAAAATAACTCATTTTTACGTCCACGCGTTTAGCCGGGCCTCACCACCGGTGTGGGTGGGCACTGAGGTGCGGGGTGGGCCGGGCGGGGAAGAGCCGGCTGGGCATTCAAATCCCTTCGGAAACGACCTTTCCCCAAATCCAAAAGAAAACGAGCCGCCCGCAGGAGCCAGGTGTCGGGGCAGGAGCGTCCCAACGCGCGCCCAGAAAATTAACAGGGGAGGGCAGGTAGTCCGCGGCCAAGCGCCCAGCTGCCCCGAGCCTGGAGCTCTGGCTTTCCTGTTACTTGTAAACGCCGCGTCGCCCGGGGCTGCGAAGGCGAGCGGAGAACGAGCCCCTCCTGGCAGCCGGCGACTTGGACGGCGAAGCGCAGCCAGCTGGAGGCTCCGCTCACCCTGGCGCGGCCACACCGGAGCCGGGATCTGAGCATCCGCGCCCACCCTCACTCCTCACCTTCCTTTGATCAGACAGAGCCAGAGGGCGAGCGAGCGCGCATGTGCGTGTGTGTGTGTGTGTGCGTGTGCGTGTGTGTATTGTGTGTGCGCGCGTGTGTGTGCGCCCGTGCGCGCGCATGGTGCGCGTGTACCGCATCCGCGCGCTCAGCTGCCGGTGGCGCTCCATCTCTCCGCCCGGGCTGCGCCTCTCCGCCCCGGCTCCTCTCTCCCAGAGCTTTGTCCTCAGCGATTACTCCCGTGGAAGGTGGGCGGCGGTCATCCCTGAAGGAATAAAGAGGTGTCTTTTTTAAATTCCCACCTGAACACCAGCAGACACTAGAGGGTGTAGCGGAAAGCACCCTCCTTCAGCAGGGAAGATTGACTTGCGCTTTCTTGGGCAGTTTGGGAGACCACCCAGGAGGGGAGAGGGGAAGTTCAGAGGGGGCTCCCTGGCTCGGTGGAAAGTCTGACTGGCCCTGCCTGGAACGAGTTGACTGGAAATTTTGCTTTAGGCAGGGTATGCAAGAATGGATAATTATGTTTTATCAGTTACACTAAAATACTGTTTGCAAGTGAACTATGATGTGGTTTGCACAGGTCCCAGGAAAGTGAATGGTGCAGTTTTGAGATACTGATATTCAAATCACTCTGGTCTTTTGCTCATTAATCTGTTTCTCCTTGTTTTCTTAGTAACTATTTCCCTTCTTCGGGTCCATGGCAGGGAATTGATGCTGAAGAGAGCAGAGAGTTCCCTCTAGGAAAGGACCAGTAGGAGGTGCCCTTAATAAGGCCAAGTGCCTACTGACTGCGAAATGCCCCTTAGCAAGATGTTTTAAAGACTTTGTTGATGGGTAACAATGGATTATGGAGACTAGCAGTCACACTGGGTATTTTCCCACTTCCCTGATCAAGTCTGAAGCTGCTGTAGATTGTTATGAAATTATGATGACCTCACAAACAGCATCCCTGAACGGCGTCAGCAGAGCATGAGGACTTGATGCTGGAGGGGGAAGATGGGGGCTTTTTAGCTGGCTTTTGTAAGATGCCATCTTCTTATGTATTTGACTTGAGCACCAAGCAGAAGCACTAAGTAGAGTCCCAGGATCTCAGATGAGATGCATCTTAGGTGGAAGGTGTTGTTGAATGAAATAGCAGGTATACATGTTAATTAATTGATTCTTCATATATATGTTTGGGTTACACTCTATTGAAAAAAAAAAGCTATGGGAGTTTATGTAGTCCAGACATGGCAAATGAAGCTTGCTGCCTTCCCTGTCCCCTTAGTATCCCCCAACCAAAGTAGATCCGATCAGATGGCCCCATCTGGGCTTGCTGCTGAGTAGAGCCTGGCAGGACCTGAGGGCTCCTGGGCAGCCTGGCTGTCCACGCCTTTGTGAGTGCTGCGGCATAAATCACCAGCGGCCTGTCACAGCATCCGCTCCCCGCACCGCAGCAGTTGCCCTCTGAGTTATGAAGCATGTGAAACAGTCACCACATGTGTTATATGTAAATATATTAGGCTTAGCACATTTGCTTTAATGCTCTTAAAAGCTGGGCTGGCTTGAGCCGCCGATAGGCATTTTTTCTGGGGAGAGATTTATAACTTCTCAGCATGTATGACTTACATTTATTCTCTGGCAAGTTAACCTCTCAGCAAACCTCCTTATTGTTTTCATTGAAGAGGAAGAGCTTTAACCTGATCTAAATTCCCCGGTGAAGTCCTGCTGGAAGTTTCTCCTAGAGTACAGGGTATTTGCAGACTGTGGACTGTCTCCTCAGCCAATGGGAAGCACTCCAAGGGAATCCTAGCACTCCAGCTATCCTCAGAAACATACTTTATGAGAGGAAATATTTCTCCCTGCCTGGGTTGTGTTTCTTCTTTGTGCACCCAGTAGTCTGAGTGTCTTCAAATGCAAGCGATTTGCTCCTGAAGTGTTTTCTGCTGCAAGCAGTGGGGTCATCTAGTACCGTCTCCCTCCTTTGGAAACAAGCCCTGATTTGAGTCTTGACTTCCCCACCACACACTTATCCTCAGGTGGTGCTGCATGTTTGCAGGTCATGCTGAAGTTTCTGAACAGAATATTTCATTCCATAGAATGCTGGGCCCCAAGGTTATATTTTAAAGCAAACGTTCTTACTGTTTGTTTGGAGAACTTGCCATCCTAAACCTTACAGGTGAAACTCCTTCCTCATGGTTCCAGCAGGTAGGGTAACTTTATGAGAAAACAATGCAGCTGTTTCTGGCATTTTCTTAAGTTAAAACACAATCATACACACACAAAGAAGAGAGGATTTCCATTCTCCATGACAGCTCCCCAAATCTATTACTTTGGGGTGAATTAAGATAGTGCTAGTTACATAGGACTTCTGGAAACCACTGGGATTTCACTAGTGAGGGAGTTCTTGGCTGGGGATAGGTCTTCCTACTTTACATAGATGTGGCCTGTGTACTCTCAGAAGCTGGCTTCACATTAGGAATATATTGCTCTGTTTTGGTATTTGTTCCACAGCTACCAGCTCCAGTGATACATTTTTGATGATCTACTTCAGATGATAATCTCTTAGATGAACTGTATTATGTAAATTTTGGGAAGTCTTCCTTTTGCCTGAGTAAAAAGAATAATGGCATAAGCCCAGTGAGGATTACTTGATTAATTAACTAAAGATAAAAAGTCACTTGGTTCGGGAAACATACCGTAATCCCTAAAGGGAAGTGATAGACACTACGCACATTTGCAATTCATAAAATGTAAACGTGGAGTTGTCTGTTTTTTTCATTATGATGATCCAGAGGAGGATTGGAGAGCCTCATAAATTGTCACAACAGTTATATACCTTCATGAATCGTAGCCTGGGATCTTAGTAACTCTTGATTGAAGTACACTGAATTAAACATCAACACGATGCCCAGTGAATTGTCCTGCAGGCTGCTGGCGGGCTGTTGCTTCTCTCCAGCCTGTGTCTGCAGCATCACAGCTCTCATCTCCACCCGGCGGAATCAACGCTGCCTCCTTTGCCACAGCCCAGGAAAGCCTTTCTCTCTGTGACTCCAAGGCCCTGATCCACGGACGCAGCGTTGCACGTGCTGTATTGCGCTCTATATTTTCACGGAGATTTGCCTTAAAAACAAATTTCAAGAGTGCTTCTTTTAGTGGAGTGTTAAGGTGGACTCTCAAGACAGCTGAGTAGTACTCTTACCATAGGAGACTCTAACTAGTGGCCTCTCGGCCCATGTTGTTGAAGTTCCAGAGCTCACGGGCATTATGAAGAGATAGTGAGCTCTAGAGGGTAATAGGTTACGCCAACCTAGGAATACTTGTTTGTCAAGAGGGTGTTACCTGGTTGGAACTTTGATTTTTGTCAGTGTTACCATTTTTCAGAGTTCAAAGCATTTCTTAGTGGTATTATAATATCAGAAGCATGGCATTGACCCAAAGCATTTAAGATAGTTTCCTTCAAAACAAGACCTCAAGTAAAGTAAATGTTAAATTAGTCAATAAGAATGGAGGAACAGTCCAGCTTTTTCCTGTAGGCCAATTAAAAAAATGTGCAAGGAAAAAAATTACATGTTACTTATGCCAAGTGGGTAAGCAATAAATAAGAAGCAAATTATTATACACGTTT